TTTTCTTCTCCTGTGGTTTGATGCTTCCCGTCCTCTTGTGGTTTTGTTTGCTTTCATCTTCTGTGTGCAGAATTCCTTGTAGAATCTTCTGTAGTGGTGGCTTGGTGGTCATATATTGTTTTACTTTCTGCTTATCATGGAGGATTTTTTATTGCTCCAACTATTTTGAATGAAAGTTTTGCTGGGTAGAGTTTCTTAGGGTTGAAATTATCTTCTTTCATTGCCTGGAATACCTCACTCCATGCTCTTTTTGCTTTTAAGGTTTCCATTGAGAAATCTGCTGTGATTTTGATGGGTTTACCTTTATATTTTAGTGTTTTTTCTGTCTTACAGCCTTCAATATTCTTTCTCTATTCTTTGTGCTTGTTTTAATGATAATATGTTGTGGGAAGGTTCTATTTTGGTCAAGTCTGTTTGCTGTCCTAGAGGCTTCCTGTACTTGAATGGGCATAACTTTCTCGAGATTTGGGGAATTTTCTGTTATTACTTTACTGAATACATTATAAATCTCTTTTACTTGGACCACTTCTCCAGCTTTAATGCCTATGATTCTTAGGTTGGTCTTTTGATGGAGTTGGTGTGTTCTTATATATTCCTTTCGCAGGTCTTGAGTTGTTTAAGTATCAGTTCTTCAGGTTTTTCTTTAATTTCTACTTTATCTTCGAGTTCTGAGATTCTGTGTTCCACTTGTTCTAGTCTGCTGGAGTGGGCTTCACTTTGTTTTGTGTTTCTGTTTGATTTTTTTTTCTGAGGTTTTCACTTCCTCTTTAATATTTTCTATGTTCATCTTTAATTCATTTCCTTTCTATTTATAGTGTTCTCTCACCTTTGTGTTTATTTAGGGCTCCTATGAGTTCATTTATTTGTTTCTGTGTCTCCTCATATTCTTTATTTTTGTTGTCTTGAACTTTCTTTATTGCATCTTGTACATTTTGGTTAACTGAGTCTAGTATCTTCTTCATGATATTATCAATGATTACTTGCAGAATTTTTTCTTTGAGGATGTTTTTGTGGGCATCTCTGGATTTCTTGGTGTCATTTACCATTATTTTGTTGTGGTCAGGAACTGGGCATCCATTGTCCTCATTTCCATTTGAGTCCTGCATTAATTATTTTTTTGAGGAAAATGGTTTCAATTCCTTTTTCTTCTTCCCATTTCTCCACTTGGTACTGTGCAACTATATTCTTGATAGGCTAGTTGGTTTTTTTTATCACCTGTTTTCTTTCCCTTGATTTAATTTTTGTTTTGTGGCTGTCTTGGTTCTTAGCTAGGTTGATGTGCTATTTCTGTCCTTGGTCTGGGTGTAATTTAATAATAACTAATTCACAGGTTCAATACCCAGCCAGTAGTTCATATATTATATAGAAGACCCCTTGGTGGTAGCTGGGGGTTAACATTTGTTAGGCTAGCTATAGAAATTTGGGGAGTTGGATAGTGTGGCACTAAAAGGTGAGGTAGAAAGTGGGGGGGTGAGTGGGGGAAGCAGTGAGAGGGCTGCTGGTTTTTGTGGTCTTTGTGTGTGTTTGGGTGTATTTCTGTTGGTAAAGTGGAGGGTGCTTGTGTCAGGGATTTTAGGGGTTGGGGTTGTATAAACTTGGTAAAGTAGGTTGGTCAGTGGGTGATGAGTGTGTAGGAGGGAAGGGTAAGTCTGGTGACAAGTTGGGGGAAAATGGGAGGGGAAGGTGAGGGCAGGAGGAGAGAGTGGGTGGGAAGGGGCATAAAGAGTAGTTGGGAAAGAGAGCAACGGATTTTAACACAGGAGAAAGAGAGAAGGTGACGGGGTGAGAGTAGGGATGAGAGGATGATAATGTTAGAGTTGATAATATAGAAAGAAAAAAGATAATAGGACTAGAAATAAAAACAGAAAACCCACAATAAGAAAACAAACAAACAAAAACAACAGGAAAAAATAAACAAGCAAAAAAACCCACCAGCTTCAGGAACAATAGAATTTCAGTCTTGGGGTTGGGGATCTAGTTCAGTGAAGAGCGCTTGCCTGGCAAGTGCAAGACCCTGAGTTCGGTCCCCAGTACTGAAAAACAAAAAAAGGAAAAAAATAGAATTTCAGTCTCAGTTTAAGTTCTGGAGTTACTCCTCTGGCATCCAGTCCTGGTATTGGCCTATAAGCAGAAGCTCTGACATGGTCTCATCAGGTGATTGGCTTGTGAGTAGTGTTTTGTTCTTCTAGACAGAAGAACAAATTGAAATTGAAATTGTGAGGTGAAGTAGGTTTGCCAGATCATGCAGGGTGGTCAGAGCTATTTATATCCCCAGCTGATAGCTGTGTTACCCTTCAGCTGCAACTGTTTGGTCAGCTCCTCTCCCAGTGAGGTGGGGCAGTTCAATTGTGGATGCTGCTCTCTGGCTCAGGAAATGAGCTCTGTGATCCACTACCTGCCCTGCTTCAGGGAGTGGTTTATTGCCCCCCCCCCACCCCCAGTCTTCACTGCCTTTCCAGTGTTTGTTTAATGACAGTTCGTGCTGAGATTAGCTCCTTGCCCCTCCCCCTTCTCTGGTGCACTTTCAGCATTCCACCTGCCCCCTCTGTTGTTGTGCTAGATTACAGTTCGCTGTTTGTTATTCAGTTTTGTTGGGGGAGATCAGTCTGCCCAGGGGATGTGCTGGTTTATGTTCCTAGGAGGAGGGAGTTCTGTGTGGTGCTCACCTGTTTGTTCTGTCAAATGACAAGCAGGCAGGTTTGGAGCTGGTGGTGGAAATAGTGGAGGCAGTAGTGGTGGCAGCAGCAGCATTGAGAAATGGTTCCAAATTTTCTAAGTGTAACATGGCATGTGGAGGCTTTCCATGGGCTAGGCGTTCAGGGAGTAGAAGGTTTCATTCTGGTTGGTGCTTTATTTCTGCTTGGTGGAGGAAGGAGAAGAGAAAGAAAGAAAAAAGAAAAAAGAAAGAAAAAAAAAATTCCCCCATGGGGAAGGAGGGTTTCCCCAGGGCTGGACCTACCTTGCTGGCTGTGCAGTGGTTCGCAGCAGTTAGGTTCAATTAAAGGCTGATTTGTGTGTAAGTATTTGAATTTTTTTCCTGCACTTAGCATGACAGCAGTTATTATTTTGGCTAGAAGCAGTCAGAGTTACCAAGTGTGGCTCCAACTTCTCAGGGAGGTTTTGGAGTCACAGAGGTTAGGCTTTCTGCTTCCCTACCCTAGTCACCATCTTGGATCTCCTTTATCAAACTTCTTAAGACATAAGATTTCTTATGTTCAAAGTTGAAATGGAGCTGTGAGATATTTTCATATTGGTGGATCATAATACTACGGGAAGGATTTGTTCTTGCTTTTAGTTTTGTGCACAAATTCTCCTAAAGCATTGGTAGATGGAGAGGTAGATAATTTTAAAAACTGTTTTGGTGGATGTGACTGGGAAGTTCTGTGTCCCAGTCAGTCTGCCTCCACTGGCAGTGGCAATAAGACATTGCTCTTCTCAGAGCAATTTTTCTGTTTGGGAAGGATCTTTAGGAGTGTGGGTGTGTACTCATTTTAGCTAGTGCATTGGGGAGAAAGAAGTGAAAAAACTATTAAAGAGGAAGGTAAATGTGAATACAAATTAGATTTGAGGGTTGAATTATGAATTTGAAAACTCTGGTACTCTTAAACAGTAAGAACCAGGAACTTCTTCTTTCACATGAGTATATTGAAATTTTCCAAAATGACATGGAAACTATTATGTAAAAAGATTAAAAAAAAAAGCCCTCATGAACATTTATTGAGTACCTACAGGCTATCTAGTTCAAATGAGTTCTCTTCTTTTAACCTTTT